TTTTCTGCATAACATAGTTTTTTTTTGGTATTTTTTGGGTTTTTTTTTTTTTTTTTTGGGGGGGGGGGCCTTCCTTGGTCCTTGCACGGGCTGGCCACACGGAACCCAGGCGGCCCGGCTGGTAGCCTAGAAAGAAAGCCAAAAAAAAAAAAACCGTTTGTGGTCCATTCACGCAGCACATCCTAAGACGGTTGGCAATCTCCTCCAAAACGAAGATCGAATTCAACGCAAAACAAAAACAAACCGACAATAAGCATTTCACATCATGCGACGTCGGTCCAGGATCGCAACACTACTCGGCGAAGACAATCCACATTGACAGCCCTGAGGAAAGTTTGACATCATTGCAGCTCTTCTAACAGCACATTGGACAATCGCAACATTAATCGGCCACAATAATCAAAATTGAAAAATGCGACTTGCACCAACGACGAATGCGCCGCAAGGCACGGAAACGACACCGAAGGCCGCCCCGTGGGGCACGTGAGCAATGAATACTTAAAACATTAATCAAACAATACCTATATCAAACAATGTGACCGGCAAGAACGGCCCCTCTTGTGTCTACACTACCTCCACCGGGGCACACTGCAGCACACAGGACAACGGTAACGACACTGCTCCCGAAACGCACACGTGGCGATCGCGCCGACCTCGGAGAGACGTGATCACTGCACATCATCAGGTTCGTCTGGTCGTCCTTCTCGTAGTGCTCCTTCTGCACCTCCACCTCTCACTCGAGAATGACGCATTGCCTCGTCAAAACTGAACATTGCCTCTTGCTTACGCTGTCCACCGTCGTCGCCATCAGCTTCTCGTGCTTATCCATGACGTCGGCGATCGCATCGAAGAATGCTGTTTGACATTCTTCCTTTTGCCGCCCCCGCCTACACTACCACCGCTCAACGTCGAATACCTCGTCGATCTGTGATCGTCATCCTGTCCGTCCCCACATCCCTCGCTAGCCACATATTCGTTCCGGCCACCACCTGTAGCGGGCATCTGAAGTCCTCCAGCCACACCCGTGCCCGCGAGATTCGTCGGGTGAATAGTGTGATCGGCCTTTGACATCGCGTTTATCTCGAAATACATAAGCTCATCCATCTGAAAGTCGAACCCTTTCTCCTTCCTCTCCGCCGACATTCGTGTGAAGAAATTTTGCTTCCCGTATTATCCCATGAATCTGTGCACGGATTTGAACTGCTGGTACAGGTTGTCCCATTTTTTCCTGCATTCCTCGACCTTCCTAGTAATCACCCCTGCCTTCACGAGCCTCTTCTCAACGTCAACCCACTTCCACGTCCTCGACTTCATCCGTCCATAGTTCTGCCCTAGCCCGGCGAGATGCAAATCCTGGTCTCTTTTCGCCCGGACCAAAGCGATCATGTGATCGACAGTCCAAAAATCCCTGTTTTTCCCTCTGTCGCCTGTGGACGTGTCATCCACACCCTTCTTGCCTTTCCGCCCCGCACGTGGTTCCGTCGACTTGTTTGTGCCCCGAGTACTTCCCCGCTTCAACCCAAGTGGTCGAATCTCCATCTCGCCGTCATCGTTTTCCCCGTTGTCATTATTGATGTTATCTTCCGTGCAATCTTCGCCCCCCACCGCCAGCGCAGTCCACGAGCATATCATGGTCCCCGACGCTCATCTTCGCCACCCCTCTCGTTATGCCGGACAGGCTGGACTGACGCGATTGTCGTCGATTATCGTCCCAAACCTGTCGACCCATGACCTCTGTGGCGGACCAGTCATCGTCGTCCCGTCGCCCGTCGATTGCATTAGTAGGTGTCGTCGCTCGACAGGCCGCCAATCCCACTGTCCTCGTCCTCGAAGCGGCCACAACAGCACTGCTCATCGATCCCCGCTTTGGCGAAATGAGTCCGCGCTCGTCGCCCAACTCATGGCAACACCCGCCGCACTCGCCCGGAAGCCCCCCCCGTCGTCGCTAAAGGCCGTGTGTGGTTGCTGGCCAAAGTTGGGTTCATGACAACGGTGTGCGTCACGTCCTGACCACTACCACACCTCAGACAGAAGCTCAGATCGACGAGTCCTGCGTTGTAGTCGTCTGGGGTCCGCCCTTCTAGAAGATCGGTGTACGTCGGCGTCGGTGGCTATCTGAACAGCTGGCTCCCCATCCAATCCTGCGTCGAGCCGCTGCCAACGGGAACCGTTGAGCATCGAGGGTCGTCGCCGTCGGCGTCACTAAGAGGCAACGGAATCTCATGGGACGGCAGGTGGCTGTACAGCGTCGGGTCGTACGGCTGCCTGCCACCTTCCACACCGGTGCAATGCAGACGTGAGGACTCCCCCGCCACTGCCGACACCGTGGTCTTCTTCTGAAGGTTGTCCATCTTCCTCGCCTTCTTCGACGTTCGTGGTGTCACTTTCCGTCCACGAACGCGTTGGGGGCGGCCGACTTGACAAGGCTGTGATCGGGGCAGTCCAGCCACGTCAGGCACTCCCCGCTCAACAGGCGGGGGGTTCAAGCGCGATGATAACACCGCCCTTGCAAAAGAAAGTGGACGCAGGCGGCAGTCGGACGGCGGCGGGAGATCATCACACCTCTGCAGACGGAGTCGCGAAAGGTGTGGTAGAGGGAAGGGTCGGTGACGTGCGCCGCGAAGATGGTAAAAGAGATGAACGACAGGAAGGCGATGATGCTGACGACCGACCCCTTGCTAGCACGCGGAAAAGAACTGCAAAGGAGGTTAATCTGGAGGAGAGGTCGAAGTTGTGGGTTGATTGCAACGCTTTTTGGGGTCAAGGCCCCGAAAAACCGTTGAGGGAGGCAATTGGCGACTGCGCCGATTACTTCATCGCCATCACCAATGGAGACGCAGGAGCCGAACCACTGTCCATGCTCATCATGCCGCCGAACGATGTGCCACTCTTCAAAATCGATGATCCGGCGCAGCATGAACCGGCTTTGCGCAGAGTGCGCATGGTGGAGAAACTGGTAATGCGCACCATCCACGGGTGAATCTTCAAATCGTCGTTGAGGTCGAATGGCTTCGCTCGTGCAGAGTCGTACATCACCGTCGGCTACGCTACCGACGTCGTACGAGCTGTTTGGGATGGGTTGGAATGGTCGAGAGTGGTTTCCCCAGCCCTCGTTAACTACACACTGCAGATGAAGATGGGCGTGCCTCTGTGGTTCGCAGGGGTGAAAATTGTGGACAGACCTAAAGATGATGATATGGCGGCGCAACAGGAGGCGACAGTTCTTCACGTGGTGGAGTGCTGGACAAATGCGCTTTGGTGCGGACAATGGGCGGATGGCGGCCGTTTGAAACAAGTCTTAGAGAGGTTCACGCGGCTTGCGGATTGTCTGAGGGTTTTGTTGAGTGCGTCCATGTGGATCATGAGCATGGGTGGCGATGACGATCGTTCGCACTATGAGGCGGGATTGCACGCATCACTGACCACGAAACCCACTCTCATAGCGGTAGGGCGTACATCTTCAACTGGAGGCGACGCATCGTCGATAGTGCCAACCTCGTGTTGGATCGCCTTGGGAAGCCCCACCTCACACTGGGAGAGTACCCGCATTGCATCCCACAATGGGGTGATTGCGGGTTGGTGTGTGAGCACAACGCCATTTTGAAGAATGCAGCTGAAGCCGCAAAACACGACTAGATCAGCAACGGTCCTCTAGCGGATGAAGATGGCGGTGACGACAAGTGACACACGGGTTCATCTGGAAGGTCGATTGGCCGGGGTGGTCATCCTACATGGGGAGGCTCTTCGATCTCCAAACGAGGTGGGGGGACACTAGAGGTGGCAGGGCGTTCGGCGGAGGTGTTGCAAACGGGTGCATGTTGCGTTTTGATTAGTGACTTCGTCACTATCCACGTGCGCGCGTTGTAAAATGACTTCGCTTAGATGGTTCTCTCCACGCACACCCACTGACACGTGCGCAGGGCATGCGGCGATGTTGGCGGTTCAGCGAGGCAAGCCGTGTACGTGGTACGACAAATGTTTCGACTGATTGTGACCTCACGAATGGGGTCGCCACGTACACACCGCGCAGCGCAGTAGTCTTGTTTAGTTTATTTTTTTAATATTTGTTATCAAGTTCGGAGCCCGGGGGAGATGCATGCGCACCACAAACCCGTATGTGATCGCAGTGGACCCCACGTCCGCACACACACACAGACACACACAGATAGATAGATAGATAGACTAATATATATATATATATATATATATCGTCAAATAGAACTGCCCGGTAAACCGTAGGCAGAGAGGGAGAAGAGGACAACAAACGAGGGGCTGTGACAAACTGTTTCGTCGGAGTTTCACCGACTCATATATATATATATATATATATATATATATATATATATATATATAGAGAGAGAGAGAGAGAGAGAGAGAGAGAGAGAGAGAGAGAGAGAGAGCTGTGCGCCGCGGAAGGCTGGGTTGCATGAAAAACTCGGGTTTAACTCTTCGAGTATGCAAGGCGAATCTATGGATTTCATTAAGGAATGTATGTGTTGAGGACTTCGATTTATGTGGCAATGGTTGCTCACGTACTAGTGCTTTTCTTATCCTCTGTGTGGGATTCTCGTGTCGACTATGGGTGAATGGCCATCTCAATGTCGTGCAAATATTCTCACGTATGGTGTCCGTCACGCCTTGTCTCAAATCGCTGATGTGTTAACATGGCCTCCACCTGACAAAACACAACCCCAAAAAGAATAAATGTAAGTAAAAAATACACGGGAAAAAAAAAACATAACAAAAAGTGCGATAGCAATGCTGTTGCTGAAAGTACCGAAACGTCACGAGATGAACTTGTGTTTTTTAAAATGGTGGCATGCAAGTCGTGTGTGGAACAACAACGCAACGACGATCTACATTTGGAAATGTAAACACGCGCAGACAAGGTACATGACAAAAGTTTCATACACGAGACGATAAAACAAACCCGTCCTTAAAAAGGACACAGCTTGACGCAAGAAGATGACCTCACACACAAGTCCAAAGGAAAAACACATTCTTGTACTTGAGAAAGGGATTCAGCGCTTCGAGAAGCGCTCGTGCAGAGCAACCAACAATTTTTAAGCACGTGCAAACATGGATAAGCACGTGAACATAAACACCGCACCGGGCTCCCGCCCGCCTACCTCCCCCACTTAACGTGGCAGACTTGCGAACCACCCTAACCACCGCCACCTTCCACCACACCGCCTCCACTCCCCCACCTCGAGCCCCCCAATCACTGGAAACACGGCGAAAAGAAAGGTATGGTGAAACCAATAAAGAAAAGACGCGACTATAACCTGAGGAAGAACGATAGTCCTCGTCACTACAAGCATCCACCACTACCGTCGTCCACAATTACGAGGACGGCCAAACAAATCGTCCTCGACGGAAGAAAAGTCTGACACACGGCGATGGGCGAACGAATACTATCCGTGCGTGAAAGCCAACGAAGCAAGCGCTCTGAATCGACGACGGCGGGACAGGACATGAACATTGTTCTTTCATCGCGAGAAACAGACAGGTTGTATCGCGGATTACATGTGCTTCATTCGCTTTGCTAGAGCGTTCCGGAGCGCGATCGCCTCAGTTGTGGAAGAGGAATTGCTGACCGGCTGCGGGGGAAGATGAATCCCGAGATCCACTCGGCGCCGCACCCCGTTCTCGTCGACCTCCCATAGCAGATTCTCGTCGAACTTGATACCAACATCCAGGAGAATGTTGTGTAGAATGCAGACGGTCGTGAACTGCTGCGACAGAGTGTCTAGGTTGGTTTTGTGCGTCTGCAGGAAGAGCCTCCACATCCCCTTCAACCACCCAAACGCCCTCTCCACAGCCCCTCTTGCGACCTTCTGCTTTGTGTCGAACCTTTCCTCGTCGGGGGGCTGATTGATTCCGCCGTACGACACCACTACCCATTCAGAAGGAGGGTACCCGTTATCGCCCAAGATGTATCCGTTTGTCCTCACCCTGCCCAACAGTGTGACAGGCGGCCCACAAAACAACGTTCGCTCTTCTGCGCGCCGCGACAGACTAGACAGTTGGATCACACTTATGTCATGGCAGCTCCCGGGATACCCAATGAACACGTCCAAAACTCGCAGATCCAGGTCGACCATGACCTGTGCAACGACGGAGAGACGGTGTTTGCGGTCGAACTAGTTCTCGCTGAGGGCGTCGCTGGTTTGTCGACGTAGATGTGTATGTAGTCGACAGTGCCGTGACAGTTGGGAAAGCCCTTCTCCCAAAACGCCCGGAGCACGACATGTTTCCGCACCCCCATAGGCTAGGAAATCTTGTTTGTGTAGACCCTCAACAGCGCAGATGTGACATTGCGCATGGCGAGAAGTCCAGAAGCTCGCCCTATGCCGAAAAACGATGTGTTGTTGTCGTATGTCTCCCCTGTAGCCCACCTGTACAATGCGTACGTGGCGATCTTCTCCGGCTGCACCGGCTCCCTGTAGAACGTGACCCATCGTTGTAGATGTGGAGCACAGGCTTCGTTGATCTCCATGAAAACTCCCCTGGACATGCAAAGCTTTTCCCGAAAGTAGTCGCCAGTCGCGTCATCGCACACCCGCAAATCCTCCCAAGTGCCTCCTGTTCTCCGCTTCATCCAGCAACGTGGTGTCGCCCGAGGAAGCACACCACACCCGATTGCAGCGCACAGCTGAACCACGGCCTCCGAAGTTCTAATGCAGTTCGGGGCGTCCACCACCCTCTGCACCAGAAGCCTCTGCCGCCGCCTTGAAAGCGTCACCTTCATGCGCCCTGCCGCCCTCTCGACTTGGCTGTGGATCACTACGGCGAGCGCAGCCGCCACGACCGCTGTCTTCTCCGTCGTCGACAACAGGGCACGACGACCCCTGCGGCCACCCTCCATCGCGCCCTTCGTACTGGAAAACGAATGCCCGCCACCTGCCGCCACCACCTACGCGACCACAACGATGACACGCCTGCAATTCACGCTCCGCCACCCCCGCTGAGCGATGTTCTCCCCGATGGAAGCGTCCATCTGCCGCCGCCGAAGTGCAGAACCTCCACGCGCGGACACGTGCTGCGAGGATTGACCCTCTCCAGTTTGCTGCGTCGACGACACCGCAGACCGTGGCCGTGTGTCGCCACTGAAGTACGCAAGGCGATGGCATCCGGAACCAGTCACAGAGCCTGCGTGGCGCACACTGCACCGTCCAGGACCCACCTGTGCGCCGCCTCCCCGTCGTCCCGCAGCCCGCGATTTCTAATTTCGAATTTCCAGGGCCCGTGACACGATGCCGCCGTACGCCTGCTGGACCACGACGACTCCTTGCCAGACATCCCGAATCGGAGGTCGGACAACCCCCCCGCGGCCGTGTATAATCTCATGAAATGGGCCGTGGGAGGGCCCCGAGGATTCGTCCTCGTCCTCAGCGCCCGAGGACGCGCTGAGGAGTGTCTAACGAGGCCCTTATTTACCTCATACTCACACTAGCGCTGTAGCATCCTGTATCGGCCCGCAATCACAGCATAAGGGGGGATACTTCTTTTTTTGCCTTTCCCTTCGTCGTCTGTCACAGGCCCTCACTGCGGGCGGAGTCACAGTAGCACCTCATAGAATGTATCTGATAGTTATCATGGCGTTGGGGATTCCAAAGTTTTTCTTCTTTTTTCTTCTTCTATTTTTGTATTTTCTTTGTTTGTCCCTTTCCAGATGCAAACTGCCCCGGCTCGGCAAAACTCGGTGCGCAGTGATAATCAGGCTCGGCAAAAACAGGATGGGCGGTAGTGGTGGTTTAACTCTGGTTTGTATGCACAGAGACCCTGTGTGTGAATAAATGCCTTCAGAAAAAGGATAAGGCTGCAGACACCTAAAACAGCATGTTTCTAAAGAAATTCTAGGCTCAAAGACTTGCAGGCCTTGCCGCACCACTTGTCCCATGCCAACATTTTCGAATGTCACTGGACACAGTGTTGGTCTCGATACATTCAAAATAATGGTGTTTGGTGAGTGTGCGGAGAGCTCGTGTGAAGCAGGGAGATTGCAATTGGAAACTACAGCATGCCGGTGCTTTTACAGAAGACCTCAGTTTTGCGCATGGGTGCAGTAATCGCAGCTGCACGTTCTCTGCCAGATTACATCTATAGTCTGCCCTGCCCGATTAGATCCACACGAAAGGAAAACAAGGAGCAGGTGCCTAAATGACCTCCAACTTGTCACCACACACTCCTCTTCCTCACCCTCCTCCTCCTCCCCTTCCTCTGTCTCCCTCTCTCCTCCCTGTCTCTCCCCCCCCTCCTCCTGGTCCTTCTAGCGATGATCATCATTTTACCTAATAACTCTTATCCTTGTTCTTGACTACCTCTGTGCTTCGTCTCGTACAGCTGTCGTCTGCCTCATCATTCCTCTCGAGCCATCTCCTTCTCCTCTCTGTTTTCGCTGGTGTACTACCCCTTGTCCTCGTTCTTGATTGCGTGCATGCTCCATCTCATACACCTCTCGTCTGCATCGCCGTCGTCGTCCTCTTGAGCCATCTCATTCTCCTCTCCGTTGCCATTGTGATTGTCGTCATTCCTCCCCCTCGTCCTCATACGGAAATCAGAGTCCAGCGCTCGTACCCCTCTGTATCTCTGTGGATGCTGGAAATGAAAGACGCGCGTTTGCTGTGTGCAGTCGACGATAGGCAAGGTTCAAGATTGGCAATTCCGCCGCGAAGCAGAAGCGTTCTTGATATTGACAGAGGGAGGCGTGGTCTCTTGTCAGCCGAACAGTTTCTTTTTTTTTTTTTTTTTTTTTTTTTTCCAAAACAGTTCCTGTCTTTGCTCAGGAGGAGGAAAAAGGAAGAAGAAAATTATATCCCCTGCGCCACCAGCAGCAGCAGCAGCGGGACAAAAGGCAAAAGGCAAAAACAAAGAGCACACCGACTGGCCTTGCTCAGTTGGTACACCCCAGAACTGTCGGAATACACACCCAGGTTCAAACCCCACTGGAAGCAGATGAGTGAAGCACTGCAATTAACAAAAAAGAAGAGAAAACTACGGCGCAGTCAGGGTTACAGTTTGTAATTGCATTCGGATCTGCGTTTTAGCAGTTTTGTCAGGGCCCGAGTTTCAATTGCAGTTGAAACTGCGTTTAAGCAGTTCGAAACTCGGGCTGTTTTTTTCTAGCAGTTCAGTCAGGCACATGGCCGTTTCTTTCTTTCTTGTTTTTTGTTTGTTTGTTTGTTTGTTTGTTT